GTAGAATCACACTTTTTCCTTACAATTACAATCAAAATCGACGCTTTAAAACTTAAAAGCTTACGATTTTACGCTTTTAGCTTACCAAAGTGCTTCTAAGTAAAATCGCGCTTTTGACTACATTGGTCTCAACCATATGAAATGTTTCATCTAAGGAGTCGGCTGAGCATCCATTTGCAAGCATCCGGAGGGAAGTAGTAAGCTTTTGTTCTAGGGAGAATGACAGGCAACCAAAAGCATCTTGGCCTTGCTGGAAGTAGGAGTCGTGTTGAACAACACCATCCATGACTCGGTTGAAGAAGGATAGGGGCATCCAAAATTTCCTTGTGAAGAGCTTAGCGTCATAGGTCGGATTGGGAACGAAATACTGCTGCATCAAATGTCGGTGTGCTTCTACCCTGTTACTACCCACTGATTTAAGTGGATGTGAACAATGCCTAGATGAAAATGCTTTCTCTTGGAATAGAAAGGCTCATGCCGTCATCATCATCTGTTGACGATCACGGTCAAGCTGGCACTCATACTCCCATTGCCTATCATCAGCTTCCTGCTGCCTCTCATCCGCTTCTCTACTAGGGGAACTCATGATGGAAAAAGTGGTTTGGGAATTGATAGACCGTTAGTTACACATGTTTTCACCCCTGTTCTTACACCGTTTGAGATGTGGTTTCTCGTGTTTTAGACCGATTTCACGCTAGGTTGTGCTTGTTTGTGATATTTCAGGTCCTGGCAAGTGAATGAAGGTTTAGGAGCGAGTTCGGGGTCGATTGGGTGAAGATCGGGTGCGAGACAAGTCACAAAGGAGGTCACACGGGCTGCCCTGATGTTCACACGGCCGTGTGAAGTAATGGCCTGGCCGTGCGTGTTTTGCCGAGAGCACACACGGGCAGAGCAGAAGATTTACACGGCCGTGCAAGTGGCCGGGTTGGCCGTGCCACATTCTGCGAGAGCAAACACGGGCAAGAGGGGATGTCCACACGGCCGTGCCATTCTGGCCGTGCAAAGAGCCTGGAATTCGAACTAAATGAAACGATGCGTTTTGACTCACACGGGCAACTGGGTGAGCTGCACGGCCGTGCCACCCTGGCCGTGTGAGTCGGGGTTTTCTCCTTTTAAGCAGATTTTCAGCCACAATTCGGGGGATTCGAGTTTTGGAGAGAAAGAACGACTTCTAGAGAGAGAAAGTGACGAGCAAGAGTTCCCAAGTGCCCTAGATTGATCTTCAACACCATTGGAGGCCAGCTTGAGCTTGGAGAAGTGCCAATCAACGTCCAGAAGCAGGAATCCATCCTTCGCAGTATGAATTCCGTGTCTGATTCTGCTTTTGCTTTCTTCTCCATGGAGTAGTTCTCCCATTCATCTGGGTATGGAGAACCCTAGATTTGTATGTTAGGCTTTGATTGTATGAACCCAAGTACTGATTCTATGATTGATTATATTCGATTGAGGTTTTAATGATTGAATGACTTGAATCCTGATCAAATTCCTGTTGTTTCTGCTTTGACCTAGAATGAGAATATCTGCCTAGGTTAATAGAGTATCCTTGATTGAAGGTAGGGAGTTGGTGACTTTAGTCGAGGAGCCAACTCACTATTCTGTACCGGATTTACTCCGGTAGTGGAGGTTTTGTTCTTAGGGCCTCAATCTGTCGACTCCGGTGGAGGTTAGTCGCCCGCTAGAGAGTCAGATTGAGAGGGTCTGAAGACCTTTAGTCGAGACTTCAGGCTGTTTAAGAACCTTCCGCAGTATAACTGTCATAGAAACTGAACTTGGTAATTACAATCCGGCTTAACTGCAGTCTTGGGGGAACCATATCCGGGTGACCTCTTTAACCTGAATACAACCAGTTTACTTGCTTTGTTTGTTTGGTAGTTTAGACTTGCACTCCAGTTTTATTGCTAGATAACAAGAACTCACTGAGTAGTCAGCAAATCTAGGACCCGGGTTGATAATTAAACCTAAACCCGCTATACTACGCTTTAGGAAGTAGTTACATTTGGCCAATTCCTGGGTGATTGAGTCTTTATGCCCAGGGGGGGATATTCTTACCAAGACTCCACCCGAGCTGAACCAGATGATCAGTACTTTGGCTGCCAGAGATCATTCTTGGGGACAGGGTAGCCGAGGCAGACAGTCCCGGGACCGTGATGTGCACGCCATGGAGACCAGATCCGGGCTCGAGCAGCAGGTAGCTGAGCTAGTGCAGACATTGAAGCAGCCTAACAGTCTGATTCCGGGCAGAGGTTTGGCTACACCTCCAGTGGCTCAGTGTCACTGGTGTGAGAGCTCCAATCACCTAGTGGAGGACTGCCAGGCTATGAGGGAGTCTACCACACCCCAGGAGCAGTTGGCCTTCATCGCCAATGCGAGGCGCCTCGATCCATACAGTAGCACATATAATGAGGGGTGGCGCTAGCATCCCAACTTTGCCTGGAGCAGCAACACCACTAAACCACCTGGTTTCCCAGCACCAGCAGGTGGTTTTCAGCAGAGGCAGCCCTACCAGGCTCGACAAGGGCTAGTTCCACAGCAGCCATTCCAGCAGCCCCAACGCCAGTTTGCCGAGCCAGCAGCAGCTCTAGCCCAGATGACAGGATGACGAAGCCGGAAAACATTCTAGCTTCATTCATGACGAGCACTCAGGCGACTATCACGAGGTTGGAACAGAGTGTAGCCTCACTGGAGGCAGGTCAGAGGAACCAGGGTGCCATTTTGCAGGATTTGCAGACCCAGGTGGGCATCTTGGCCCGCCAGAACACCACCAGGGCACCAGGGACTTTGCCTGCCACCACTGTCCCGAATCCTCGAGATCCTCATCAGCATCAGCAGCTGGATGCCATTTTTACCAGGAGCGGTAAGACCATATCTGCTGATCCTGTCCCGGCCAGACAGGAGGACCACTGACTGCTTCAGCACTTCCAGCCGACGATGCAGAAGTGTGGGTGGAGAAGGAAGCCCCTGCTCCCAAGCCACAACCAGTGGTTAAGGAGCATGTACCCCAGCTTCCCTTCCCCACTCGCCTACACAAGGACAAGCTGGAGACTGAGTTTGCCAAGTTCATGGCAATGTTGAAGCAGCTCAATATCAGCATACCGTTCATGGAGGCACTGTCGAAGATGCCCAAGTATGCCAAGTTCATGAAAGATATCTGCACCAACAAGAAGAAACTTGGGGATCTCTCGACAGTGTTGCTGAGCGAGGAGTGTTCTGCTATCCTGCAGAACAAGCTGCCCGAGAAGCGCAAGGATCCAGGGAGTTTTACTATCCCTCTTACTATTGGCAGCATGCATGTAGGCAAGTCCTTGGCGGACCTAGGCGCTAGCATTAACGTCATGCCATATAAGTTGTATAAAATGCTAGACCTAGGTGAACTTAGCCCTACTAGGATGAGCATTCAATTAGCTGATCGTTCTATTGTGCATCCTAGGGGAATCATAGAGGATCTGCTTGTTGGTGTTGGTGCATTCACATATCCTATTGATTTTGTTATTCTTGATATACATGAGGATGTGGATGTGCCCTTGATTCTAGGTAGGCCATTTCTTGCCACCGCCAAGGCACTAATTGATGTGCATGATGGTAAGTTGATCTTGCGTGCTGGGGATGAACAGGCTACTTTTTCTGTGACTGAGTTTGATCACTGTGCTATGATTGCTGTCACGCCTGTGCATGCTATGTCTGATCAGGTACACGAGTCTGTCGTGTACCCTTCTGCACCTCCTATTTTGCAGGACCCTCTTATCATTCCTTCGCCGCCACTCCATCCAGCCTCGCCTCCGAACAAAAAGCTCAAGGAGGAGTGGCGGCCGAAGCAGCAGGTTGCTAAGCCTGCACGTAAGAAGAGTGGAGACCACTATGAGCTGGTCCCACCTCCTGCACCACGACCACCCTGGCCGTCTGGGTACTCACTCGCCTGCATCTTGCCAGATGGGCAGGTCGAGCTGACCGATGATGGTGGTCGCATCCGTCGGGTGCATGGCCACAACCTGAAGCTGTACCTCAAGAGCGACGTGGATCCGCTCTTGGAGGCACCTGTTCTTGCACCGCCCTGAGTATCCACCATGGGCGTCCAGCTAAACGACGGTAAAGAAGCGCTTGTGGGGAGGCAACCCCACCACGGTTTGATTTTCTTTCTTGTGTTTTGAGTCGGATTGTGACCCGGTTTGGGTTTGGTGTGTTTTTTTTTTCTTTTGGTTTGGATGATGTTTTATTGGGCTGACCATTGGACCTAACATACTGGGTTTAAGCTCTTTGGTTTCCTTCGGCTGTGCTTGCCCCGACTGGCCCCCTTCCAGTCCCCTGCAGTCCGTGCATACCGGTAACATCTTTCCCTTATCCTTCCCTCTTCTCCATTGAGGGAAATGTCGATCTTAAGTGTGGGGGGGGGGGGTGTTTATCTTTTGACTGCATTAGATCTGTTTGTGTGCTTGGAGCCTAGTCCACTGTCCAAATTTTTAAATTTGAGGGCTCCAAGTACGTGTTTCCATGCAATTGCCTGCTCAGTATGCTTTGAATTGACAGTCTTTTTAGTAATATGCAACCTAGGGAGGTAGTGTAGCACTATGGAGGATGTTGATGCATTTAAGAAGTCTCATTTCTTCTTCATATTGAGTTGGTTGATTGAGTGAATTAGTGATCTTAGGACCCTTGAATTGTGTGGTGTTGTGGATTCTCTGCCTGTCATGGACTCTTATATCATGTTTTGAGTTTAACAGGTGCTCGAAAATGTGCTTCAAAATAAACGTCTCCCGTGCGAATAGGGCGAAAGTGTGTAAGGGGAGACGGGAATCCGTTCCCAATTTCCACCTACTACCTCCAGCCCCCTTACATGTCTTTCCCCCGCACGAGGCTCGAGACATCCGCTCCTGGCATGGCCGGTAAGAGCAGGTTGGGACCCTTGAAAAAGAAAAAAAAAAAGAAAAATAACAGAAAACAAGCATAATAGAAAGAAAAGGGGTTCCAACCATCCTTAAGCAGAAAATAGAGCACCTTGAAAAATGTGAGTCCATGATCTGTTATTTTTGAGAATCTCTTCATCCACAATTCATTTGTCCTCTGTTCACTATTTGCCATGATGCCGACTCGCCGAAGAAGTTATGAGATGACTTGTGCGTCGGTTGACCTTGTAAGTTGCTAAATGATCTAGGAAGTCCTCTACCTACGATCTGGGTTGTTTGTTGCTATAGAGGTCTGGAGAGTTGCATTGGTTTGAGTTAGGTTTGCTTGGGGACAAGCAAACGGTTAAGTGTGGGGGAGTTTGATAGACCGTTAGTTACACATGTTTTCACCCCTGTTCTTACACCGTTTGAGATGTGGTTTCTCGTGTTTTAGACCGATTTCACGCTAGGTTGTGCTTGTTTGTGATATTTCAGGTCCTGGCAAGTGAATGAAGGTTTAGGAGCAAGTTCGGGGTCGATTGGGTGAAGATCGGGTGCGAGACAAGTCACAAAGGAGGTCACACGGGCTGCCCTGATGTTCACACGGCCGTGTGAAGTAATGGCCTCGCCGTGCGTGTTTTGCCGAGAGCACACACGGGCAGAGCATAAGATTTACACGGCCGTGCAAGTGGCCGGGTTGGCCGTGCCACATTCTGCGAGAGCAAACACGGGCAAGAGGGGATGTCCACACGGCCGTGCCATTCTGGCCGTGCAAAGAGCCTGTAATTCGAACTAAATGAAACGATGCGTTTTGACTCACACGGGCAACTGGGTGAGCTGCACGGCCGTGCCACCCTGGCCGTGTGAGTCGGGGTTTTCTCCTTTTAAGCAGATTTTCAGCCACAATTCGGGGGATTCGAGTTTTGGAGAGAAAGAATGACTTCTAGAGAGAGAAAGTGACGAGCAAGAGTTCCCAAGTGCCCTAGATTGATCTTCAACACCATTGGAGGCCAGCTTGAGCTTGGAGAAGTGCCAATCAACGTCCAGAAGCAGGAATCCATCCTTCGCAGTATGAATTCCGTGTCTGATTCTGCTTTTGCTTTCTTCTCCATGGAGTAGTTCTCCCATTCATCTGGGTATGGAGAACCCTAGATTTGTATGTTAGGCTTTGATTGTATGAACCCAAGTACTGATTCTATGATTGATTATATTCGATTGAGGTTTTAATGATTGAATGACTTGAATCCTGATCAAATTCCTGTTGTTTCTGCTTTGACCTAGAATGAGAATATCTGCCTAGGTTAATAGAGTATCCTTGATTGAAGGTAGGGAGTTGGTGACTTTAGTCGAGGAGCCAACTCAGTATTCTGTACCGGATTTACTCCGGTAGTGGAGGTTTTGTTCTTAGGGCCTCAATCTGTCGACTCCGGTGGAGGTTAGTCGCCCGCTAGAGAGTCAGATTGAGAGGGTCTGAAGACCTTTAGTCTAGACTTCAGGCTGTTTAAGAACCTTCCGCAGTATAACTGTCATAGAAACTGAACTTGGTAATTACAATCCGGCTTAACTGCAGTCTAGGGGGAACCATATCCGGGTGACCTCTTTAACCTGAATACAACCAGTTTACTTGCTTTGTTTGTTTGGTAGTTTAGACTTGCACTCCAGTTTTATTGCTAGATAACAAGAACTCACTGAGTAGTCAGCAAATCTAGGACCCGGGTTGATAATTAAACCTAAACCCGCTATACTACGCTTTAGGAAGTGGTTACACTTGGCCATATATCACTCGCTATAATCAATAAAAACAAGGTATGGCAGTCCCCGACAACGGCACCCCAAAAACTTGACAGGGCAAAAGCGTATATGCCTTAATTCCTATCTTGTAGTAAAACCGGAAAGTCCGGGTATCGTCTCTTAGGGACTGGTACAACCTTTTATTCTATCAATTTATAGAGCAAACTATAGGTGAAAATGATTTAATGAGACTAATTATCCAAAAGCAAAATAAACTAATTAAGCAAAGTAAACTTGTCAGGGGAAATTTAACGGGGAAAGCTCTGGGAGAAACACCGGAACTCGCTACCTATCATATCCAAATTAATTCACATATTCCAATCAATTTAATCCATACCTCTACAGCCAGGATATCACTACTGTGCTAGCTATCCCTGTCGGGAATTACTACATACTTAACAATTAAATCAAATCCTACTGTCGTAGCTCAATGACTTAATTATTTAGCCTGAAGATCGATATCCTAATCAAGACCGCATAGCACTTTATTTAATCCACTGTCGCTTCGATAAGTTACTATGTCACATGAAATATGTTCAGTTATTAGGGTTTCACTGTCGCTAATAACCTAATTAACTACAAATCGATGTATTGGTGGCCAGTCAACACAAAGCAATAAGCAATTCCATGCAATAGAGATTGAAAGAAAAGAAATATGAATCAATCTATCAAGTATAGAAATAGCTACATCCTATGGTGTTTCCCCTAGAAATTGGGGTTTAGTTCATGACGAAATCAAAAGATATAATCATGTTCTTAATCATCATGAAACTAGTAACGAGAAGAAGAGAAAATACTGATACGAAATAAATCGCAAATTCTGATTTTCACTCCAATGGGCGCTGCTACTGGTGGGCTTCAATTGCTGCTCGCGCTCTTCTCCTCTCGGCGCTGCTCAAAATGCCCTGTCTTTGTTCCCGCTACGCTGTTCTTCTATCGCCTCTCTCCCCTGAACCAAAAAAAGAATTCCGTCCCAGGCCCTCCGCTTTTTATTCCGTCCTTCCTTAATTGCCTCTCCACTGCTGAGTTCCGTCCAAAAAAAAAATGCCACCCCCCAATATCATTCCGCCCCATCAATTAGAATACCCCCCCCCCCCCAAATATTTGTTTGTTCCGTCCCAAATATAATACCCTGCCAATTATTAATTAATTCCTCAGCAATTCCGTCTCACGTCCAACTCCTCAAGGCCGCCAGCTCCCTCAGTAATAGGCCCGGCCCACTGCTCCTCCTAGTCCAAGTGAGTATTTCACCAGTGATTCGAGCCCGATTGATTGCTTGTGCAATTTCTTCTTTTTCGTGATTTCTCCACCTGTAACATATCAAACTCATGGCACTAGGCAGTAATGGTTTTTCAACCATTTCCGGATTAGCGAGCCCTAAAATAGCACCAATCGGCTTAAACATATCATAGGATAGTCACATAAAGTTCAAAAATCCGATATATTAAAGCCGATTATCACTTTTCCCTCATCCCATTGTGGCCAAACCCTTCCCCACCCTCCTTTCCCTCCCACATTGTGGGTGGTCTTATGTGACACATTAGTGTTTTAAGCGAAAATAACAATTTTTAATATAAATACCTAGTTTATAACACTTTTTACTTTGGTTCAATATCAAATAATTAATTTATAACTTATCTAATCATCACTTCTCAATTTGTTAGTTTGTCAATGCAAGGCTTGAGCTTTCAACCATGGAACTTCGCTTCAATCTATGTTAATCCTCAGGCATATGAAAGGGAAGAACTTTCTCCTACCTCCACTATCTTTCTAGACAAGGTACTAATAAAACAAAGAAAGGAATACAACAAAGATGGAGAAAACAACCATGGTAAGATGTTTCTCTTCCCTTCTAAGTGTTTGGATTGCCTCCGTGGAGGAGAAATCTCCGCTCTTCAATCATTGGGTAGGTCAAAACCTTCTTCTTTGTTCTTTGGTTCGTGACTTTCTTTCTCTACCTGAAGAAGATGAACCCAATCTCTCTCTACACTGCTTTTCACGGTTGATTGTCACGCTCGTGATGTTGCAAGTCTGCTCGTGATCTCGATCCAAAGTGCGCCATTTCATTAATTGACTTCACGGCTGGATGGAAATTGTCACGGTCTGGTGACTGTGACGACTAACTTGCTCGCGAGATGTGCAAAGTCTTCTGGGAGTTGACGATCTTTACGGTCTGGGCTCCATCTTCATGGTCGGTTTATTGTGATAATTGCTCCTTGGGCGTGATCTCTGCGTGTTTGTCCATTTTGCTCCATTTGCGCCCTCTTTCATTCAATTTTCTCTCCCGAGGACAATTCCACACATGCTAAGATCTGAAACATGCTAGAACACACACAAACCTAGCATAAAATTGAACCTCGAGCCACGTAAATGCCATAAACAACACAATAAGATGGGGTAAAAACATGTGTAATTATGCCCGAATCAAACTTCCCCACACTTGGACGTGTGCTTGTCCCCAAGCAAACCAATCACACACAAGGTAATATCTCAACCTAAACAGAATAATTAGGGGACATGTAAAACGGCACAAAGTTGATGGATCTCAATGTCTATTTGGAACCGACATATGGACAACAACAACCAATCTTGGCAACCACCACAAATGATATTCGAATGCATTAAGAACGTGCAAACGAAGATTTCTCACCTTGTACGGCGGCGATTGCTATCATCAGTCAGCCATGTCGGTGTTTGGAGATGACTGATCAGTTGATCCATCTATGGATTGAAGGTGGGAGCATAAAATGAAATATTTTGGAGCTACAAAGATAGTTATTAAACTGTTAGTACCGTAAGGCTCAATCCTACTAATTTCCCAGAGACTAGCAACTATTGGAAAATTTGGTAATGAGTTGCTCATATTAATACTAGGAACAATAGGTCAAAATGGGGTTTGTACCGCATTAATTCCTTCGACTTCCTTTTGTTGTGGATTAGGGGTGATAAAAGGTTTGCTAGTTATCGGTATAACCGGTAACCAAACTGGTAACTAGCAATTACCGATTGTACAGTTAACCGGTGGTAGCGGTACGTGGTAGGGGAAATCCATTTATCGGTATACCGATCCATTCCCGGTAAATAATAGGTGGAATATTGTTATACCGGATATACCAGCTCTATCTGCATCCATGTTTTATCCTCCCAATGGCCCGCATGAAGGAGCACAGATTCAAGCACACCACCATTATCGACGTCTTGACTTCCAAGGGATGCGCAACCGTCGATTCGTTGTCGGAGATCAGAAGTAGAGGTTCCATACTCTCCCAGATATGAGCATGTGGATTGGAGAGGAACACTTAGAACCCAGATCAGATTAGAGATGAGGGTGACGATACCTCCTCCATAGCTATCTGCTGCTTGCCCTTTATGAACCAAAGAAATCCTCTCGATCTTTTTCATTTCTGTCGTCTGCGAGCTACTTCTCCTCATCTTCTCTTTGTCCTCTCGCCGCCGCCGCTGATTCAGGACCCAATAAGGACACCAATCTAGCAAGGGAGTCTCGAGACGACAGAGGATATGTTGGCCGGAGATCTGGATCAAAAGAAGAGGCATCTGAATCTATAGAACCCCAAAAAAAATCTCCAATCTGACTGCGGCAACGGCTAGAGGCTGGAATGGTGGTGAGCTGTAGAGAGGAAACTTGTTCGATGCTTGCATGCGGCGATGGTGGTGGGTGGAAATTACTGATAGAGTAGGATTGGGGAAAGGAAACGATAAAGAGAGGAGGGCTGGGGAGAAGAGATAGTGAGAGAGATGCCGGTTGGGGAGGGTTGGGGAGATAAGATCGAGAGAGAGAGAGAGAGGTCTGTTGGGGAGAATGAGAAAGAGAGTAGGATGTGGTTTCCCGATCAGTCGGTATAACCGGTGGTAATCGGTAACCGTCTATTTGGGTATCCGATGAATCGGTTGGAAACCAGAACTGATTGTCAAATATTCTTTTATCGTAGTTTGTACACTGTTAACCAGAGAGTCAGTTACCGGTTAAACCGATAATCAACCGAATGCCACCCCTATTGTGGATACAGATGAGCTTCTCGTTCCCCAAAGGTAGTGATGGGTGAAGAAAGACTAGACTTTGAGACGACACCCCCTCTTCTAGTAAAAACCTACCAAAAAGGATATGCCTTTTGGTGAAGTAAAGTAAACATGAAGAAATTAAGGGTTACTCTTCCTAATCACAATCAAGCTCAAATAGCATAGGCTACACAACATGAGAGCGACCCTAGGACACACGGGTCAAAAGGGTTGGCTAGGGGATAATGCAATTGGAACAAGTCAATTTTTGGATCATGGGCCAATCCTATGCCTCCATTTTCCTCGCTAGTGACAACGCGAATGTTACACATCATGGTAAGAGGGATCTATCACACAAGAATATAACGAGCGACACAAATCTCACATGGCTACCTAGATGCTCAAACATTCATTCCAACTTCCGAATTTCAATGTATGAACAATTGCAATCAATGAGTAATCAATCCAAAACATCAATTCGTTTACACACATGAGAACCGAACACTTGCACCAACCTAATGCATATCTCAATCATCATCGTAGGTTGCACTCAATCACAACAAGTCACCCATATACAATGCTAATAACCATGAGATCATCCACAACCGACCACTATTATCATGCATTCACATTCATTTCCCCCGCCAATCACAAATAATACACCCCCATACTTAAGCATGACATTGTCCTCAATGGGGAAAGGGTAGGGTGAAGAAGTTACCAAACATTAGGCAAGTGAAAGTCAAACATTAGACTGGGATAGAAGAGGAGAGAGCTTCACAACGAAACAAAACAAAAACAAACATACTCGCACAATGCGAGGTTATTACACGCTAGTAGTATTTAAAATCACAAGCAAAATAAAATACAAACACAATAGTACTAGTTCAAGACACATAAAGAAGAAAAAAAACATAGTGCAAAGTCAAAATGGAGAAGTGGGGCAAAAGTACTGATCGGCCACGTGTCTCGCAAAGTTGTCTTCCTCTTGTGATGTGGATATGGTTGCCAATTATCTTAAGCATGGATACCTAGGGGTGGTAATCGGTTGGTAACCGGTTACCGCTTAATCGATTATCGGTATACCGAAACTCCTATATCCTCCGCCGTTTGCGATACCGAGTGCAGATCGGTACACCGGTTACCGAATTAGTGTTTCACGAGTTTTTTATCGGTACACCAATTACTGAGTGCCTGCTGCTGTGTTCTTCGAGTTCCTCTGCTTCTTCCGTTCTTCTCGTTCCTCTACTTCTCGAGCTCTCCCCTGCCTTCATCACCATCGCTCCTTTCTCATCCTTCCTCATTCATCCTTCCAACAAAGGATGTTATTTCTCAAATGACGCCGACAGAACCATTTCACCGACGATGCCGAGGAAAAGGCTGGTGTTCAAGCGACGAAGATATAGCCTGAGATCAAGCGATGGATCGAGCAACGGAGATCGAGCAAATAGATCGAGGGAATCAGACACTTTCACAACTTCCTCTTTTTACAAAGCTCAAATCGAGCTGGAGAGATCGAACGGCGATAACTCCTACTCAGATAGTTGATTTTTAGATCTCCCTTTGTGAACAGCGATGATGATATTCTGAACTGAAAACCCAGGTTCTGGACGCGGAGTTCCCACCCCTGTTCTCCAATTTCGTGCTTCGATTGGTCCAATGGCATTACATCCAGATACATGCAATGAAGATTCTGAGAAGCCTCATCCAATCTGCCTCTCATCTCATGCGGTCGCTCAAGAAAGCAATAGTTGAGGTTGAGAAAAAGGAGGAGGAAGGAGAGTGGTGCAGCAGTTGGGTGATGTTCAGATTGATGCTCATTTTTATTTCCTTCATTTCTGGGAATTTTTGTGAAGGTGAAGAAGATGAAGAGAGGAGGGGAAGGAAACGTAAGAAAGAAATTGGGCGGGCCTGGCATGTTATCGATCAGGGAAGCTCCAACGATGACGATTTGGAACAAATCCCGTCGGCTGCCGACACGGCGGGTGAGAATGAGACAAAGCTTGGATGGGTATCGACCGACTAGGCTTGCCCTTCTGTGTGTGGTGAGAATCATGAGATGGAGATGGAGACTGGAGAGAAAGAGAAGCTTTGTCGCGCGACAGCAGAGGTCAGAGGGGAAGAGATCGCAAATAGGGCTGGAGCAGATTTTTCAATCAAAGGGCCATCATTTTGCCGCTGTCACTTGGTGAATCTTCAATATTCGATTAACTTGTTTACTGACGATAAATTTTTGGAACCTATTCGGTATACAGTTAAGTCCCTTTTGTCCACCGCCAATAGTTACCGCCAGTTAACGATTTAACTGGTTACCATCGGCCATCGGTTACCGGTACGGTTACCGGTTAAATCGTTAACTGGGGAACCGTTTACCAGCCCTATGGATACCCTAATCTCGGGGCAACTCCTCCAGCAGATGGTGAGAATGGCGCCCACATAGCTGAGAAGAGACCCCGACAAACTAGTGCTCAAGTCGAGTCAATCTACCCTCAATGCTAGCCAAGAAGATGTGGTCTGACTTCAGAAGATGAAGATGCTCCAGTGCGAAGACGATAACATTGTGGTGGTTGTGGTGGTTCCTGTGGAGGTGGTGCCTCTGGCTCCACTAGTGGCTACTCTACAATCAGTCACAGTGCCGCCGAGGGGCGCAGACCGTTGAATTACTTAATATTCCGCTCCATGAGCACCAAGTGCATGCTATGGAGGGTCTAAACAGGGAAAATCTCCGTCCAGTCCACTAGTTCGAGTGCATGCTATGGAGGGTCTAACCACTGTGCATCCTGTGGTGTCCACCTTGAAGTGTCTGGCTAGTCGGGTGATGATGGCTCCCATATGCATCGTGGCTATTCGAGGTCGACCCAAGATCCTCGAAAAAGTAGTAGCGAGCACTGAGGTGAGGTGGAGTGGTGTTGTGGGTTGCCCCATGGTGTGTAGTGTAACATCCTGTTTCGGCAAAACCCATATTTCGATTGCTAGAAAGTTCGCGATTTACAATTGAGCCTTTTGGCAGTATTTCGGCGAAAATCGGATTATCGATCGATCGGATAAGTATACGTATTAACTATACCCTAACCTCTAATGGGTGAACCCCAGTCCCCAATTCTCTAATCCAAACCATAATAATCGTTTAATATCAAAATGAAAACCAACGGTTCTGATTCATCAGAATTATTAATATATATATATATTAATAAGCGGTCGGTATGTAAAATTCCGCCGGTCCATTTTCCATTCCCATCCAATTCTTCTTCTTCCTTTTATTGCCGAGAAGCAGAACGCGCAGGGGAACTTTGGCGAGAGCATGGTAGAGCTTAATTCTTGAGCATTAGTAATCCAAAAATCCCGTAAGTAATGCCTAATTCATCTATACATCGTGATTTATCGATTTAGAGCTTTAAAACGAGTTTTTGGTTTAGGAATTTCTTGAATTCCCGATAAGTCAAATTAGTGTTTCCGAGTATCTGGAAGCCGGATTGAGCCCAAATTTCATATACGAGCTTCCTGCAGCGAGGTAATCAATCCTCTAGTTCTAATCCATGAATTTCAGCAATTATTTAGGCCGGGGTCCAAACCGCTGAATTTAGCTCCGGCCAAGGTTTGATGTGTTTTTATCAAGAATTTGACTCGAAGCCTAGAACAAATATTGACGGGGATACTGCAGGGGATATTAGGACGGTCTCGGATTCTAATTTCGCGTTCGTTTGTGAAACTCACATTTTTGTACGGAGGCTAAAACCGATGTTTAAACGACCAGAACTGGTGAGGGATTAACACGGCATACCGGGTTTGTCGTTTCACGATAATTATATTGATGCTTAGAATTGACCTAGGTGAACTAGAATGGCATGATTAAGTTATGTTTTGAACTTGTTGATGTGCTTTTGTTGTGATAACCCGATATAGGTTTTTGAAACCTTATATTGGGAACTTGAGGTGTTATGTGTTTAGTTATGTAATTCAGATCTCCTAACCTAAGAGTTAGGTAATGGTTTATCTACGATAGACCATGTCAAGGGTAAGTAAGCGGACTAAGGGTACAACTCAATGTAAGATTTCGGGGACGAAATCTTTTAAGGAGGGAAGAATTGTAACATCCCCTTTCGGCAAAACCCATATTTCGATCGCTAGAAAGTTCGCGATTTACAATCGAGCATTTTGACAGTATTTTGGCGAAAATCGAATTATTGATCGATCGGATAAGTATAAGTGTTAACTATATATATATGGTGCCTTCTACGGTACCCCGGGTGAAATTCGGGGTACCGCATACCTTGAGTATGAAAACTCTATCTAGACCTCGAATTAGCAGGATTTTTGGGCATGATACTATACCATAACCCTTAATGAGTGAACCCCATGTCCTAATTATCTAAATCACAAACTATAAACTCTAAGATGGTGCACAAAATTTTTTGCCTATATTTGGACGAATCATAACCGTTGATTATTGTTTCTAATTAAATTGATCTTGGGATATAAGATTAAGAGAAGTAAGACCCAGATTTTGATCTTTAAGGGTTAGAGTATAGTATCATGTCCGAAAGATCAGTCAATTCAAGTTCAGGATAGTGTTTTCTTACTCAAGGCATGCGGTACCCCGGATTTCACCCTGGGTACCGTAGAATTCCCCATATATATATATATTAATAAGCGGCCGGTATATATAATTCCGCCGGTCCATTTTCCATTCCCATCCAATTCTTCTTCTTCTTCCTTTAATTGCCGAGAAGCAGAGCGCGCAGGGGAACTTTGGCGAGAGCATGCCAGAGCTTGATTCTTGAGCATTAGTAATCCAAAAATCCCGTAAGTAATGCCTAATTCATCTATACATCGTGATTTATCGATTTAGAGCTTTAAAATGAGTTTTTGGTTCAGGAATTTCTTGAATTCCCGATAAGTCAAATTAGTGTTTCGGAGTATCCGGAAGCCTGATTGAGCCCAAATTTCATATACGAGCTTCCTGCAGCGAGGTACAATCCTCTAGTTCTAATCCATGAATTTCGGCAATTATTTAGGTCGGGGTCCAAACCGCTGAATTTAGCTTCGGCCAGGGTTTGATGTGTTTTTATCAAGAATTTGACCCGGAGCCTAGAACTAATATTGACGAGGATATTGCAGGGGATATTAGGACGGTCTCGGATTCTAATTCCGGGTTCGTTTGTGAAACTGACGTTTTTGTACGGAGGACCAGAACTGGTGAGGGATTAGCACGGCATACCGGGTTTGTTGTATCACAATAATTATATTGATCTTAGAATTGACCTAGGTGAACTAGAATGGCATGATTAAGGGTGTATGAACTTTTGTTCTATATGATGAATCATGGACTACTGTATGATATTATTGACTTGCCCTAATCGAGATGGACCTTGTTTATGCTGATGATTTCGTATATGTTGCAAATTGTGGGCTTGACTGTTGATATGCCTTATGATGGTTCGAAAAGGTGATTGGGTATGATTTTTCATAATTATTGTATTTGGATGCACATGTGGGAAAATATATATTCCCTGGTCAGGAGTTCCGCCGATACTAGTGGTGAACCCACCAACTCCGCTGGTTAATACTGGCGAGAGTAGCAATGCCGCCAACACTCGGGTTGAACCACCGCCGTTTCATGGTGGGGGTCCGCAGAATATCCCGGAGGCCAGACCCTATGTGGCTCCGACGAGCGGTGTTGGTGGAGGAACGATCAACAATGATCACATTCCGCCACGCGGCTACCCGCAAAACGTCCCTCCTCCTCCAAACGGGCTTGGCATGGATCCTGGTGGATTCATACCACAAGGGGGCAACTCGGGGGGCAAGACGTTAACGTGATTCGAGATCAGGTAGCACAGATGCTGGTGGATCAGTTCGGTTTAGGGATTAGACCAGCGATGCCGCCGGTATACCGAAAACCATATCCGGATTGGGTTGATAGATATTACCCCTTTCCACGTGGTTTTCGCGTACCTGATTTCATCACCTTCAGCGGGACTGGAGATCAGTCCACCGTCGAGCACGTTGGACGATTCATGGTTCAGTGTGGTGATGTGAGTGATTTCTTGAAGTTGCGCTTGTTTGGAAACTCATTGACCGGTCCCGCCTTCGCGTGGTACGTTAAATTGCCATCGAACTCGGTTCAAACTTGGCAGCAAATGGAACAAATGTTCCATGCCCAGTTCTACCGTTCTAAGCCAGAAGTAACTATGGCAGACTTGGCACGAATGCGCCAACAGCCAGGAGATTCGGTGGAACACTTCTTAACTAACTTTAAAAATGCAAGAAATCGCTGTTTTGTGAACTTGACAAAACGCGAGTTTGTCAAACTTGCCCAGGGTGGATTGAATTTTGAACTTCGTAAAAAGTTTCAAGATAGGGAGTTCTCCGATATGTTTCAATTGATGTCCTGCGCTGTTGGATACGAATCTCTTCTTCATGAAGAAGAACATAAGAGGAGTGGTTCTCGTGGACAATATTTCCCTAATTTTGAAAACTATGGTGTGAATAACGTCGGCAGTGATGTTGACGAGGTTGAGGTTGATTTGGCCAAGATTGTGCAGGGTAAGCCATATGTGTGTGCTTCTCTGGCCAAGGCCAATGGGGAACCACAAGGTGGAAAGCCCAATCGTGGTCCAATTCAAAACAGGAAATATTCCTTTGATATTTCAAAATCAGAGTTGATTTTTGACGAGCTTTACAAAGATGGTAAAATTAAGTTAACTGGGGGGCATACTATCCCGCCAGCAGAAAAGTTAAAAGGGAAACGATACTGTAAATGGCACAACAGTGCATCTCATTCAACTAGCATGTGTGTTGTGTTTCGTAACGTTGTGCAGGGTGCAATAGAGAAAGGTCGGTTCAAGTTCCCGGAGCCGAGGAAGGAGGCCATGATTGTTGACACAGACCCTTTCCAAAACGTGGTCAGCGTCAACATGGTCAATCCTGATTTTTCTAAGATCAACCTGCCACGCTTCAAGCTAGTAGTGGATACAACGCCACCGCCAAGTGGTAGTTCTGATGTGGCCCAGGGTGCTTCATCCTCCCAAGTGCAGGAGGGGCCATGCTTGGATC